GTTCGTGAAATAATCAATTTCGTGGTACGTAAAAACTTTTAACTAATCGTAAATACACTTATGAATATAAATATAAATATATATATCAACAACGTGCAAAGTTTTAATTAATTCAAACTGTGAGCGTTTATTTTATGCACCAAATTTGATTTCTATTGATCACGTTAGCACAAAATCAACACTGAATGTCTTTTAATTATTAATAATAAATTCGCGTAGACGTTCATCCATCACGAGAAAACGAGACAATCTTTCCATCGAATTATATTAACCACGTTTTGATCAACTATAGCTATCGTATAGGTTCTTCGAGTCAAACAATAATGATAAACGCATATGTATAATATTATATTACTCCTATACTGTAGTGCAGAAAGTTAAAACTACCCCGAAAATGTGGTCAGATAATAATTTATATTATTATTATTAGAGTAAATCGCATGCGAGAAAGCGTTTGGGAATCGAGAAAAATATATTATTGACTATTGTGCCTACAACACATGCGGTGGTGTTTGTGAAATAATGTAGGTACGATTTACAACAGTGGGACCATAAACATACATATTATTATTTCAAAACCAAACATGCACGATGCACACATGTAAAGTTACGAATTTCGAACTACCAACATTTTATTTACTATTAGACATCTTAATTTATGATTGTTATATGTAGGTATAATAGATATAATATAATATAATTTATAAGTTAACCAAACATAATTTATTTTCGCATGCTATGATAACCATCTAAGTCCTATTATTTTAATTTATAATTATTATTGATAGTTTTAGTAATCAAACATTCACTTATTAGTCACTAAGTATAACTGTATTAAGTAAAATGATTAGGTATAACATATAATATCTAGAATTCGCTAAAAATAAATATTATTTATATGCAGATCTCATTAGAATATTAGTAATTGAAATACCTGTACATATATACGTATATTATAAACTAATAATTAGGTAGTAATTAGTTTAAATTCTAAACTAAAATACATMAAATAATAACATGAAAGCAAATTTGACGATGAAACCTGATTAACATTTTAAGTCAAAACAAGCAAATTTTTAATCAACCTGTATTAACATAAATTTATTAAATTAGATTTTAATAACTATTTTTACTTCCTTAACGAACTTGAAAGAAGTACCTATACATGTTTTTTGATTGAAAACTGCTTTCTTTTGGGGAAATATAATAATATGATTTCTTTTACCGACTCTATCGTTTGGACAATATTACATCTAAATTTATATATTTTTGATAAATAATTGGAGATAAAAATAGTATCGATTTTTCAATTATTAAGAATATATTTATTTATTTTAAGGATGTTTTTCACGTCATAAACATGATCTTATCATATTAAGTAAGCTCGATGAGCTGAAGTACACGTCTGGTTAAAAATCCTGATTTTTTTCTTCTATAAAATATATGAGGAAAACTTTATTTAAAAAAATAAAATAAAAGTGGGGCACGTCCCGTGAGGAAGATGACATACCTATTTATATTTGTCGTCGCAAATTTTTATACACGACAAAAAAAAATTCTAGGAAGAAAGAAAAGTTGAAAAATAAATTATTATCGACCAGATATAAAATATAATCGAATATACAGTAGTATTATATTATGACCATTGTTTTCGGAAAACCGTTTCTATATACTTGCATGCAGTACGACTACAAACACGATCCCTTCAATTACGAATATTTTCCCTTGAGACTCGATTATGTATATAATAACAATCCATATAATGTCGGTATGTATGCATTGCATATATACGCAATGATCTGTATCGCCAAATCGAATTTACAATACAGCCATGGCTTTATGTTACGTGTTTTAGGGTCAAAAAAAGATCGATCGGCGCGGGATGTGGACGATACGACTGTTGGTGGGAAGGGTGCGAAGGTTAGCAAGGAAACACTGTGGACAATATATTATTACAATAATAATAATAATGTTTAAGAACAGCTATACGGTATATATCGGTGTATTATATGATATTATATATTCTTTCTTATGATGATATCACGCACTCGACGTCTGCGTACAAATTGGCTTTTTAACATTATGCCTTATGCGTGTGTAACGACAACGGATTGTGAGAAGAACATTATTATTTACCATCGGAATCGAACTTTATGTGGACGCCGATCGCATCCCGACAAGGGGTCGATCGCTGCGACCGTCGCCGACACTGATAGTTTTCACCAAGAAAATACACATTTTTATCGTTAGACGCAACTACCGTAGTCGTAAGTACGCGCAGTTAATAACACGAGATAACGGGGTGTTAGAAAAGTATGTAAACAAATTGAAAAATTAACCATTATACGGCCCACTGTAAAACCAAGTGGAAAACCGTCTGCTACGACCCTCCCCGTCAGTGCATTCGAATTTTCTCGCGGCTATATATTTACGATGACGACTATATAATCTAGGTGTTGAATCTCTGTAATAGGTAGTTGATTGGAATCGATCTTTGTGAGTCATGGCTGACCTCAACAATCGCCGCCAAAATGGATTTTTCACCAAGAAAATACATGTCATCGTTAGATGCAACTGCAGCAGTCATACGTGCAGTCATTAACAAGTCGAGATAACAGCGCGTTAGAAGAATATTTAAAAACAATCAACTCATCGTATTCGTATACGGATTGCTACGAAATTACGCGGAAAAACTGCCTCGTCCACCCTTCTTGGCGGCATATTATTATTGAGGTTTTGGAAAGTTCATGCGCCTTGGTCTGATATGCGCATCTAAGCCGTTGTTCACCGCCATTGAACCAAAAACGAACAAGTCTCAGGTGGGCCGCCGCGCGCCCGTCAGGTATATATAAAATCGTACGCAAGATGTATATAATATAATATTTGTCGAATTACCTGCATATATTATGTTTGAATGTTTCGCAAGTGCCCGCCGAACGTAATGACTTTGCGAAAAGGTTTTCATTTAACTGACGCGCCGCCGTGCTACGTATATTATTATTATAATACCTGTGCAATATTGTTGTAGGTACGCGGCGACGTAAACGACTAAATGTCGGTAGACGTGGGTGGGTGGGCAAAATCGGGGAATACGCGTCATCATCAATCATCGGCGCGAGTGTAATAATAAATAACATAGGTATTTAAAGAGAAGAAAAAATATTAATTTAGAATGTTAAAAAAATAACGATTTTTCAATTTCTGCAAATATATATTATTATGAACTCGAGACTTTTGACGTTTTTGTTAGATAATCATATACCATAATATAATATATTAATATCGTTATACGATCTAGTGTGAAATTTATATAATATCGCAGCTGAGTGTGTGCGCGATGAACGAAAGCACAAACAAATATTATTATTAAACTGCAATCGTCTTATAACAGATAAGAGCAATAAATGACAGTAAAGTCAAAGAATTCCATAGAGTATTGTACCGCGGTACAACCATAGATAAATATAATAATATATAAGACAAATACCTACAAATACTACGAGGGAAACATAAGTATTGATTTATGTTGTTAACTGTGTACATCAGTGGCGTAATTACATGGTTGCATAGGTGTGCATTGCACCGGGGCCCGGGGCCTAGAAGGTCCAAAAGGGGGCCCWAGAATTTTAATATTTTGTTTAAAATATATTAAAATTGTAAATGTTGTTAATAATTTTAAACTATTTTATAATAAATTATATACTACGATAAAACCATAAAATTTTATATTACGAAGAGTATAAAAATAAATTGTCCATGAAACAGGTAGARATATTGTCATWAGAACATATTATATCATTTATCGGCTTATGCTTATCGTAAATATCTTGATTGATGATTATACGTTTATGTATGTACACTGTACATAATACATACCTACGATTAGATTTGTATTCCTGATTATTATTGAGACTCTTTGACAGTTTATAGATAGAGCAGGTACGATAAACATAACTTATTCATATGAAAGGTGTAGGTATAGGTGTTTTTTTCTGTTTTGATCCGTACTTGTTGCGGTCTGATTCAGTTTGGCAGAAAAAAAACAAAAACAATTGTTCGCAGTGTTTTTTTGGAAAAAGTACTGGAAAAAACATCTAGGTAGGTACTGCAGTTTGTCAGACATCAATATAGTAATAATATAACGCTAATCATTAAGTTCAAACGAATTTTTTTTTTATTGATCATAAAATACATCGATACCTGGCCATTCACTAGTACATTTGTGTTGTTCAAATTTTTTTTAAAATTAACTTATAGAATCCAGACTTATTTAGAAATTAAATAATATTCTTTGTATCAAACAGTAATATATCATTCAGCGGTGTTTTTGGTTCGAAAATTATTTCCAACGCCTATTTACGGTACTGAGTTCGATATATTATCCGTAAACCGTTAGCGTTTAAATCGCGATGTTTATTGATGATTGTACATAATATTATTATTTCAATTAATTGTATATTATTCCACCATGGCACCATTGTTTATCATGTCCAAACGGCAACACGCGTATTTACCTAAACCGTATTCAATCGAGACCAATCACTCAAACTCAATAACAATTACAACTCGTCGAATTTTTGGTTTTTTATAATAATATGTTATACCGTCTGTCTTGAATATTAGGATAATATACTTCTACGAAGAAGAAATCAAATTGTTGTGCACGCGCAAAATATTCAAGAGTTGAACAATTGTAAAGCATGAGAAATTGTGATTCAATATTTTAGTTGCACGTTCTGAAAACAGAATTCAAAAATAAAGAGATAGGAAATACCTACTGAATAATATAAGCGACTGCGAGTAATCGAGTGTACCTACCCTGTTTTTATGGAGTTATACGACATGCAATTAATACCACGACGAGTGTATAATTTTATTATCGCATTATCCAGAATTCCAGAGTGTGGGACACTGCAGTGATGACTGCGAAGATCAAAGAGATCTCTTTGACAGTTTAAAAAAAATGACATAATTCCGTCTTGCTTATAAATATTACCTACTTATATTCGGCGCTCTGGTACCAAATAGCTGCTGGTGATAATACAGCACGTGATCCGTAGTTACCGCTTTCCGGTCGCGGATGATGATAAATATCATCGAAATCAAATTACTTATACCTAACCACTTTCTTACGGTATGAGAATAACGTAAGAAGTATATTCACTCGTGATATAGCTGGGCGGATATTCCCGGATGATAAAGTATACATATATGTATATTGTATATGTGTTGAAGTACACAGATATACAGAAGCTAAAGGTAAATAATAATAAGATCGGACACAAATAGTATAGTAATAAGTATAATGATACGATGTACAATAGTGTTATGAGGTGTAATATAAATCAACGACTAACTTTGTATACTAGCTAGCTACACAAGACATATTTGCTATAGTATTATAAAAATGTATAGTCAGCGTCTGCTGAACTACAGTGTGAACATATTACTTATATACTACATGATATAGGGTGTTTTGTTTATAATTCCAACAATATGTTTGATGGTTTAACGATTCCGATGGTTTTTTCGTTAATATTCATGATCTTGAAAATATATATATATATATATATATATATATATATATATATACTATATATAAGTAGTAGTCGAAATGCATAAACGCATTACCGAAGAACGGTTTTACAACACCTGCGCCGTCGACAAACAGCCGAGTTGTTGTGTGCGCGCGCGATTCTTTTAACCTTTTTGCCAATTTTTATTATTACTTTTAGTGGGTGAAAAAAAAACGTGAACTTTGAAACTGCCGCAGCTAATGGTCTGGAAACCCTTTTCTGCTTTTGTCGTTTTCTACTATCCTAGCTATAGGATCCTTTATTTATTTGTTTAAAGTTACAAGCGAAAAAGGGGAGAAAAAGAAAGAGACTGCAGAGACAGACAGATAGAGACAGAGAAAATGTTAAAATAGATAAAAGAGAAAAAAACGAAAAAAACGAATACTACCTTAACCTACATAAAAAAGAAATTTGGATTTAACCGTGTTCGATAACAACTGGTCGAGAGTGTATCGTTATACGACTTTAAACGATATTTAATATACATCATAAAATCATAGGTTGCAAGACGATATTATAGCATAACGCGTTTAATGTAACACATAATAATATTTAATGTAGATAAGTATATAGTTGCAAGCGTAGAATATTATTTTGCTTTATACGTATTATGCATCATCGTGTGCAATTCTATACAAAAATATTTACGCGACAATTTAAATGTCAGAAATAATCATACTATTTCATTTCGTCATTATTTTTATTATACGTGAGTAATTACTCGTATGTATGTAATACGTATAAAAAAATATATGATGGAAAACAATAATGACTTTTTTTCACTTCAAAACATGTTCACTGCAACGCGCCAGTGTCTATAGTAATTCTTTATGTATAATATACATCAAATGCTTGAAAAAAAAAATAGCAAAGATGTTGTTCCTGCAGTGTTCATATTGTCATCGTCTATTTTTGTTGGAATATTTAATTTTTTTTTCATTTATAATACCTAATTCATATGAGTAAGTGAAGTCAGTCACGAGTAAAATTCCACGCATTACTATCATTGCTACGCAACGTAACATTCATTATATTCTAGCTCTCTTGAAATTGGCATTTATTGAATTTAATTATTCTTTCCTTCAAAACAATATCGGCAGAATGACTGAATATAAAATATTGAGTCAGTCGTTTTCAACAACACGAGTTCACAAGTTTTTTTCAAAAGTATAAACACGTCAGTTTACATGGGAATGTTAAAAAACATAATATCACGGTTTATTAAACTAAAGCGTACATTCGAAAAAATCCGAGAATTGTGTAGGTACTTTTATAGAAATTGAAACCAACACACCCACACATTATTCAAATATAAATACCTCCAAGGCATAATATATTTGTGCGTCAAAACCCGAGAAAACAATGAGTATAAGCACATCCGAGTTTCCGATCATCATTTGATATTGTTCTTTTATTTTATTATAATATTATGCGATTAAAGAACAATTGCGTTCATGCCAAATCGGTCTGCAGACCGAGATGCCTAAAATCATTTGCTGTCGTGCCGTCCCGGAAACATTGGAATGATTATTTAGATAAATTATAATTCTATGGAAGTAATATTATATTATACAAGCCGTTGTCACTCGAGGATACCACAATAAACACAAGCGCGCATTACGAACAGTATTGTTATTATTATTATTATTATAATATATTGACTGAAATATCGCGGTAGTACACGACCGGGTGCCGTAGCCAGTAATTTTATGGGTGGGACGGAGACGGGGGGGGGGGATTGCTAAAGACTAAAAACAAACTTAAGAAAGTAATTCAATTGTTATTTTTTAATTATAACATTAAAACTGAAATAATTGATTAATTATTGAAAATCAAATAAATAACTTAACGCTAGAAATTAAAGATGAATTTCTAGCGTTAAGTGTCGTGTTGAGAAGGATAATAATAATAATAAAGTTTAAAACTTAAATCCCAAACGCCTTTTTTTTCAAAAGCAAATTGGTCAATAATTTCTTCAATATAAAAATATATTTTAGCATTCCTACGAATAATGTCTAACCGATTTCATGGATTTTCACCAATATAATAATTTCTTAAATATGTTTCAAAACTTTCACAATATGGCGAATTGAATATATTAATTTCAATAATGTCTTAGGAATGATATTATAATCTCTAGGGCATTGGCAATGAATCCCAGTGTAGTACAACACTGTTACACGTGATTTAAAAGTTTCATAATTCGCATTGTAATAATCTCTCGTATGCGAATAACGCTTGGAGGCGTATAATTTAGTCATAGGCCCAATGCTTTTGTTAAATAATATTGCATTTGCAGGTTTCGAAACAAAATCGAATCGACAGAGGAATGCTTTATATGTATAGGCATCGAAGTATTACATGTAATATGTTATACTCGCGTGGCGGTTGGGTCTCTTGCTTTTGTATTGATACAAAATTGCAAACTATCGAGCATTGTAATAAACTGTACGAATAATACAAATATACCGTTCACACGGAAAGGTATGTAGTAATTATAGTACGAAACATAAATATATATGTACTTGGGTAGGTACTTTAATTCCAGCTGTATTATTTAGAGCTTTTGAGTGGTGCATAAGACAAAGGTATTTTATCATTATTATTATTGTTATCTGGCACGGAGTATATTATTATACACCACTAACGTCGATATAGGTACCTAATAATATAAAAACCCACTAACGATTTCGTGATATTTCTGTACCACGTGTATGTTGTACACATATATAAAATATATAGATGTTGTACGTAAGTGTGAGTGCGGTGGGGAGGGTGTGTGTGTATGTGTACACATACATGCTGTAACCGGAGCAGCACATTTATGTTCGAAATGATAATATATGTTTACCCGATGCGAAAGAAAAGGAAAGGCCGTGCGTTACCGTAAACCCTTAAACCATTCGTAAATCGAGTTATCCATCTTGGAGAGCAAATGAAGAAACAAGGTCAAAAATTACGTTGGTTTGTTCAAGAGTTCTCGTATACCTAGCGTATACAAATACCACCGGCCGATTCTTTATTAGCACTTTTAATAAATGTGTACCCATACGTTTAGCTGGGTCGAAATCAGACGTCGTGGTACGCGGGGGAAATGTAATTTTKTAGAGCATTCGCGAACGGTATAAAAATACATAAACGCGTAGCTGATGTATTTGGCTGTATTTTTTTTTATTTTTTGGTTTTAATTTAATACATTGATAAATATCAATATTGCAGGAAAAATAAACTAGCAAATAATTACGTGAGCTTATATCGCTTTATTTTATATATATTTATTTTTTAATTTCCGATAAAAAATTCGATCACGTATACCGCCAGCCGCAAAATCCCGTAATAATAAACAAACGAGCACGTTTTGAATACATAATTTTTGATAACAAAAATAAAATAAAAAAAGAAGAAAAAATAGGAAAGAGAAAAGATCGAAAATAAAAAAGGAAGTTTAAGAAAGATGAAAAATAAAAGTAAGAGAGGAGAAAAACAACAGTAGCCGGTATATATTTTTGTCGTTCATCCCCCCCCCTATCCATTACTCTTCACTATCGCTGCCGCTGCCGGTTGACTGATGGTTGGCAATCGCATTCCGCCGAGTCTTATACATAATTTCTCCGAGCGCGTTCCTGTACTCTATCTATACATCTCTAACTCACTCGTCGTCCTTCTTCCTGGTCGGTTCCACTCGTCCCGATCGTCCTTCTCTTCCGACCTTTTAGCGTGTATATACATTTTCGACGTCCGTCTCTGTCTGCCTGCTGTATGCGAGTATGCCTGCTGCCGCTGCAGTCTCCGTCATCATATCTCTCTCTCTCTCACACACACACACACACACACACTCGATTATTTCTATCCAGCCCACCATGCAGACGACTGCGACGACTGCGACGACTTACGCCGTAGTTGTTATATTCTAGGCGAGAGATAAATTCACCGCCAGGGACATTCTTAACAGACATGCGAAATGACTGGCAAAGTCACGGTAAATACTTTTATACCGTGGCCATACATTTTCGTGTGCCCGCGCCCAGTTTGTCCGTCATTACGGCGGGAACCGACCATTTTTATGCGCACCCATTTTTTACCCCCATCCGTGTTTACGTGATTTCGTTGCCGAATAAAGTCTCAGATCGTTTTATTTTTTGCTAAAAATGTTAGGTACTTACGCCACCGCCGCATATCCCGTCTCGACCATCGCGAATCGTGAAACGGGCCGTAAGTAGGTACAATAAGGGAACGTTGGCATGAAGTTTGGTTTCGCCGTATTATTACAGGTACTCAGCCCCTACTCGAATTGTTCGTGAAAATTTCAGCGAAACGCCTAAATTTTCATAGTGCAACCTGTTTAATTAACTTTCATAAAACACGATTATAAATCCAATAGTTATACTTCGAAAACGATTAGGCGTATTATATTTCTGGCAGGTCGATATATTATATTCTGATAAGGTTAACTAACTTATTTATTATTAGTAATATAATTTAATCATCTTATACCCATACCTATTATCCGACATTGAGTTT